CCCAGGGCCTCAGACTTCCTATCTGGCCCTCTTTCTCTACCACCTTAACACCTCTTGCTTTCAATAGCTTGGTGATATTTGTTTCTCTTTTGGTACTCACATCTTAAAGGTTACCCTCAAAATGTGTTTGTTTTCATTATGCTGCAGCAGAAGAAACTGAGGCATTGAGTTTGGCTTGTAGTGACTCCAAAGTGACAGCAGGAGCCTGGAGCTGCCCTAGAACTTTCACATGGCCCTGATGAATTGCCACCTTTCCCATCTAAGGGACATCAGCCCCGACAAAAACAAACATTTCTCTCTGCCTTGGAAATAGTCAGAAGGAGCCACCGAGAGTTAATGGTGGCAGTTGTGAATGGCTTGGCTTCCCTGCTCAGTGCTCTGTTGTACCTATACTGATAGGTATATTGTATTAAAGGGTAATATTGAACTGCCCAGTGTTCTGCCAATGTACAAGGAGCTCAGCCTTCAGAAAAGGACCCAATTAATTTTAAAACTGAAAGGGAAGATTTTGTGTCCTCATCAAAATAACAGGACAGTGGCAAATGCATGTTGTAGGTAAAGGACCCTTAGTGTTTATGGCAGTTTCTGTTTTCTTTTGCTTAGGCAATTCTAAACCAAAGAATTTATTCCCAGCTCCCATCTGACTGCAGGCATCAGGCATGCTCTTTCCCCCATGGGATGCAACATCATCTCATTTTCTCAGAAGGAAAAATATTTTCCTGTTTTAACTGGTAAATAAACCTCTAGCAATTCCCTAGCCTCACCCGAGATCTTGCCCTTAGTGGCAATATAATATCACAGAAAGAACAATAGACTCGGGAGTGGGAAAGTCTGAACTCATGTCCTACCTCTGCCACTGACTACTGTCACCTTGGGCAAGTTACTCCATCTGTCTGAACCTTGGTATCTTTATTTGTCAAATGGAAATGATAATGTTTGCATTCCCAGCCTTCCTGGTTGGTTGGGAAGAAATTATTTTATAAACCATAATGTGATGATGCCATGACTTGCAAGTGAACTGGATTTAAGTGAAGGAGGGCTATACAAGATCACCAGCCTCACTTTCTCCTCCAGAGTCATTAGAGTCAGTGACAAGATATAAATCAAGATGACTGGAGATGGCCCCCTTAGCTCTCCTACTTACTATCTGTCACCAGTTTTCCTGTCTACCAGAATAAGAGGATTGAACTAGATGATCTCTAAGGATCTTTTTATCCTAAATGCTTCTGTTTAGTATTGAGTACTATCGCCTACCAGAGACCTGCCATGCCCACTTCCATCACCTCTACCCCTCCCCCACAAAAAAAAGTTAACTTTGTCTTTCTGTACGGTCTAACCAGTTTTTGTTAGGCTGAGGTGACCGTGTTTGGCTGCTGTCCTTGGTCCTGAACTGGTTGATAGCCTAGATACTTTCTCTCAAGTAGTCAATTTCCTTTTCTCTATAGAATGCCTAACCAAAGGCTTCCCCTTTCCTTTTTTTTTTTCTTTTTCTTCACCTGGTTTGGGCCACACACTTGTTAAGTCTCAGAAGGCTACCTGATGAGCAGCATCTTAGAAGTTGGGAGAGCTGACAAGGATGAATTTGACTCAGACAGCTATGCCACTAAGACTTGCTATAATAAAAGGGTTCTTGTTCACAGTCAGAACGTCTGCATGATTACAGCAACAATTAAAGTCAATAATGAAACCAGACATTAAAATGAATGTGCACCAAGCCAAAGGCCTTCTGTACTTAAAAAAACAAACAAACCACTAAAATGGGGAGTTTGAAAGCACTTTAACAAGGGCTAATTGTATTGCTGTTTATAGAGAGCAATACCAACATCATCTTTCCTGTAATCCCCAGTCTCCGACTGTCCCATTGACTTAGCTTGCCACAAGCTAGACTTTTTGTGCATAGAAGCCTGTGAACATAGGGATACCATCCAATCTAATCCTTTAATTTAACCAGATTTGAAAACCAAAACCTAGCTAGGGGAAATGCCTTTCCCAAGGTCATATGGCTCAAGTAGCAGAGCTGAGATGGGGAATTGTATGAATGTTGCTGAAAGATTTCATCATAATAATTAGCATTTCTCTAGTACTTCAACGTTTACAAAGCACTTTACATATGTTCATTCATTTATGATCCTCACAACAACCCTGTGAGGTAGGTGCTATTATTATCCTCCTTTTACATATAGAGAAACTGAGTCACCAAGGTTAGATGACTTGCCCAGAGTCACAAAGCTAATATGTGTCAGAGGTAAGATTTGAAATCAGGTCTTCTGGGCTCCAAGTCCTGTGCTGTATCCACTGTGTCACCTAGATACCCTGTTCCGCATGAACCACCCTTGTCGTGCAATTGCCATGTCCCGGCCAAGGGAAATTGAGTATATGATCTGAATTTATGAACCTACTGGACTGCCATCATGAAACTTTGCTCAGCTTATCCTCAACATAGACTAAGCAGGAAATCAGCAGCAGCCCAATTTTCCAGGAGTGTCTTCATATTTTAGCCTTTTTAGTTGTTCTTTTTTCCCCTTAGTAGTAGAGATGGTGCTGATCCTGCCCTCAAGTCACTTCTATTCTAATACATTTTAAAATTCTCCATCTGACTCTTCCATACTGTAATTCTTCCCCCACCCCAGCCCAACTTATTCAGTTTCTCCTAGCCCTTTTGTTTATATGTCTCCTTTGTACTTATTTCACCCTTCCTCATGTCATAGTTATTTGTCACAGAACAAGAGATAGAAGGGACCTCTGAGACCAGCTAGGCAGGCTCCTTCATTTTGTATATGAAAACATTAAAGCTCAGGGAGTTTGAGTGACTTGTCCAACAAGTAAGAATCCGAGGTGAGACTGGAACACTAGGTCCTCTGGCTGCAGAGTCTACTGGTCTTTCCAGTATAAACTCTTGAAGGCAGGGCCTGTGACAAAGCTCTCTTTGTGTTCCTAGTACCAAGTACAGGGCCCTTTACTCAGTAGGTATTTAATAAACACTAATAATTTCTTATTGAAGGCAATGAAAATCTTTCTTGTCTTCTATGGTCCAGTGTTCTTCAGAAAGAATCCATAGGACTTAGCTCCCATCCTGTCCCCCTTTTCCTCCCCTGCATCCTAAATTCCTCCTCAAAGACAAAAATATGTCATACTTTTTTTGGGGGTAGGTAATCAGGATTAAGTGACTTGCCCAGGGTCACACAGCTGGAAAGTGTCTGAGGTCAGATTTGAACTCATATCCTGGTGCTCCTCCTAGCTGCCCCGAAAATATATCGTACTTTTGAAATGAAATCACTTTCCCTTTCATAGACAGGTTTTTCTCTGACTCTCTAAGCATTAAAGCTAGAAAAAACCCTCAAAGATAATCTGTATCAACCCCCTTATTTTACACATAGGGAAACTGAGTCCCAGAGAAGGAAAAGAGATTTACCTAAGGTCACACTGCAATATAGTAACAGAGCTGGGACTTGAATGCAGTTCTCCTGACTGCACCTGACATCCCCCTCGCCTCACTATATCCTCCCTCCCCCCCCCACCCCCACCGTCTACCAACAAAGAAAATCTGGCTCTAACTCAATATTTTGAGCTAATTAGACCAGACAATGGTATATAGGACCATATTGCTGATAGCTATTACCAAAGAGCATAGCTTTTCATGTTCACCTAGCTGTAGGAAGAGATCAGCCTGTGGGTGGGAAGCCCAGTATAGCAGCCTATTTGTGGGCATAGGTGAATTTTTGAATATCTGAAAGCAAAAAGAAAAAAATCCATTTGAGAAGTTTCAATCTGAGGATTAGCCTGTTAAAGGCATTATGCAGCATTGCTAAGTCACTTGCCTTTATTGCCCATTCATCATATGAATGGAAGCATATTTGTAATTTTATTCCTTTTTGGAATGTTAACAGGACACGTAGCACAGAAGTGGGGCACTCTCAGTATAGGACCAAATTCCAACGTGCAAGCAGCAGTGCAGGACAGTGGAGAGAGGACTGGACCAGAGTTCAAGCCCTAGCTCCGCCATTAATTCAGTTCCATTCATTAAATATCAGGCACTGGTCTAAATGCTGGGGATACAAAGCCATGTGACCTTTGACAAGTCCCATCCCCTTTCTGAGCCTCAGCTTCCTCCTATAGATAATGAAAGGGATGGATTTGATGATGTATGTGGTCCCTTAACATTCTGTGAGTCCAACATTCTCTATCTCTTCCCTTCCATTGGTTTTGGGTAGCATGGTATGGTGGAATTTGGAATAGAAGGTCTTCATTCAAGTTCCATCTTTGCCACTCATTAACTTTGTGATTATGAGGACAAGTCCCTTCCCCTCTCTGGGCTTTCTGTCAGAGCCCTGTACCCTCTTCTGAAACAGATAGATGTGTGTGTGTGTGTGTGTGTGTGTGTGTGTGTGTATACATGTGTGCATACCTATATATTGTATATATTTTATTTCTCTGTGTTGTTGTTCAGTTGTGTCCAACTCTTTGTGACCCCGAAAAACATCCTGTCCATGTGTTTTCTTAGCAAAGATACTGGAGTGATTGGTTAAGTGACTTGCCCGGGGTCACATAGTAAGTGACTGAGGCTGGATTTGAACTCAAGTCTTCCTGACTCCAGGCCCAGCACCCTATCCACTGAGCCACATGGTTGCCTCTTTTATTGCTCTATCACCTTAAAAATTAATAAAACACCTTCTTCACAACCGCCTTGTGAGAGAGGTAGTACAAGTGTTTAATTAGACTAGAAGCTACTTGAAGGCAAGGATGGTTTGTTTATTCGTCTTGGTATGCCCAGAACCTAGCACAGAGTAGGCACTTTAAAAAATGTTTGTAAAATTATTATTGCCTCCATTTTACAGATGAGGAAACCGAGGCTCAGAGAGATTAAAACTACTTGTGCTAGGTCACATAGAAGCCAGAGCTGCTCTGATCACACTTAGCAGAGCCAGGTTTCCATGGTCCGTAATTGGCACAGTCAGACCAGCTTGGCAATCTCGTTTGAACTTTCCACCCATGTGTTTCAGCCCTGTTCTCTCAGGCTGAGGCACTGAAGGAAGAAAATGACAGCCTGCGTTGGCAGCTCGATGCCTACCGGAATGAAGTGGAATTACTCAAACAGGAACAAGGCAAAATCATCCGGGATGAGGATGCAACTAAGGAGCAGCAGCTGAAACTCCTTCAGCAGGCTCTGCAAGGGATGCAACAGGTGAGCGTGCAAAGGAGGTCCTTGGCCCCAAGGGGCCTTGGCTTTGGGAATGCTGGCCTCAGGCTGTAGCCCTTGAAGTCATGTTGCCTCCTGCCCCAGGAATAGGCCCTTATTCCCTGTATGGGAGGTCCCAGAGTGCCCTACCATCCCCCATAGAAGCTCCCTTCCAGTGCTAAGTCCTACAGTCTGGCAGGCGTTGTTCGCCCCATTTTCTTGATTGGGAAACTAAGGCCCAGAGAGGGGAAGTGACTTGCCAGTGTCAGGTCTAAAACTAAAACCCAGTGCTTCTGATTGCCAACCCAATAGGTGCTCTTTCCATCCCACACCAGGTGAATGCTTGGATAACCCTTATTAATGAGAGACAGAGTGGCAGAGAGGAGAGAGGGTCAGCCTGAGATTCTGGAAGCCCTGGGTTCAAGTTCCGCCTTTACCATGTACTGAGGCAATGTGAGCCCTAGGCAAGTCACCACAACTCCTCGGTGCCCCAGGTTGGGACATAGCCTGATGAAGTATCCAGAGCCCTGGGCATAGAGTCAGGGGACCTGAATTTGAATCTCTACTCTACCACCTTTGGCCCTGGGCAAGTCACTTTCATCTCCCTGTACCTCAGTCTTCTTATCTGAAAGATGAGGATAATGGTACTTGCACTCCTTCCCACCCAGGGGTGGTAGTTGTGCAAGAAAAGCGTCATGGTACTTTAAAGAAAACACTGGGGGCAGCTAGGTGGCGCAGTAGATAGAGCACTGGCCCTGAAGTCAGGAGGATCTGAGTTCAAATCCAGCCTCAGACCAAACACTTGACACTTACTAGCAGTGTGACCTTAGAGCAGTCCCCTCTTTGGGCTTTAGTCTCATCTTCTGAAAATGAGAGGGCTGGCCTAAGTGACTTGTACGCTTCCTTCCAGCGATGAAGCTAAGTACTAGCATGAGCCTGCTCACTAGGAGTTTCCCATATCAGTGGAACCGCAGATCCTGTCTACAAAAGTTATCATCAAGAGAACAAACTCTTTTCTGGCATTGTTGGGGAGTGAGATAGAAACTCAATATTCTGGTGAAGTTTTTTGTCTAGACCTTTGACTTTTGATTTGATCAGTGTAGACATCTTCTGCATGAGGAAACTCCCTTTGCAGATGCAAGTTGGTACCTCCTCTGAGGCACTAAAAGGGTAAGTGACTTGTCCAGGGCCACATGGCCCCCAGATAGGTCAGAGGCAAGACTTGAACCCAGGGATTATTGACCCTGACACCAACTCTCTGCCCAGGTGCTCCACACTGCTTCTCTACTCTGGTGACTAGATGTCTCTGTATCTACCAATATTGGATCACCAGTTTTGTAAGACATAGAATACAAGTGCCTTCTCAGGTCCTCCTCCCGGGCCTCAGTGGAGCCATCAGACAATGATTTTGTGGGGCCATTGAGACTCATGAAGATCATCTACTGAGGCATAGTGGAAAGACTGCAATCTGTGGAGAGAGTAGTCCACTGATGAAATTGTAGCTCTTTGAAATTTTCAAGGGAAAGGGGCCAGGCAAATACAGATGGTACACAGATTTGGCTAGGACTTTACAGTTTACAAAACACTTTCCTCACAACCACCCTGTGATATGCCATTTTACAGATGAGGAAACTGAAGGCCAAAGAAAAGAAATTATTTGTCCAAGGTCATAAGGTAGTAAGTAGCAGAGCCAGGGTTCAAATTCAGGTGTTCTGGCTCCAAGTCTTGTGTTCTTTCTTTCCACTGAACCCCACCACTGGGGGAAATCAGTCTAGAACTTTATCTAGGGAAAGCTATTAGGACCAGAACTCCTGCCCAGCCACAATTTTACTTGAGAGGCCAGAAGATGTAGGCCTGTCAGAAGGACAAAAGCAGACTCATGACCCTAGGGACAGGGAAGAAGTCAAGTTTCAGGAGTAAATTGATCAATGAAGATAGCCCCTTTAGAGGCAGAAGACCTGGGTCTGAGGTCTGGCCTACGTGGCTCATGACCACTAGGGGAGCCTCTTCCCCTCCCATTTCCCCCATCAATAACATGAGAGGGTTGGACTAGATGGTTTCTAAGGGCTCTTCTAGCTCTGAAACCTATGTTTCTGGGTTCCTCATCTGGAAAATGGGAATAAGCAGACCTTCTGAGGTAGGTAGGTGAAAAAAGTCCTCTGTAAACTCTCCCAGAGCTTTTCACCTCTTCATCCACAAAATGGGGTAAATTTGCCCTTCCTACTACCCAGGGTCCTAATAAGGAAAGGGGAAATTTAAACTTTAAACCTCTAGAGAAAGGGAGTGGTTGTTATTAAATGTCAACCACCAGAAAGAAAGGGAGGAGAGGCATGGAAAAAAACCTTGAAGTTATAAGTATTGTCACCTTCCCACCATTGTGTTTGCCATAGACCAAGGAGGGCCTAGCACAGACCATATTACACATCTAAGCTCAGCCAACAGCCCCTTGGGGAACTTGGGATCTGTCTCCTCATCCTCTTTGATTTGTTCCTTCTTCAGCACCTTCTGAAACTACAAGATGAATACAAGAGAAAGGAAACAGAGCTCGACAAAGTCAAGGATGAAAAAGTGCAGCTGGAAAACTTACTGGAGAATCTACAGGAGCAGGTACAGTGGATAGGGCACAGCGCCTCCCTCCCACAGCCTTGGCCACGAGGACAAGAGGGTAGGGTCTTCCCCATAAGCCTTTCTTTTGTTACCACACATGCCAGTGTCAAGTTGGGGGCCCATCAAGTGGACACACTCCTCACCAGTCAGAAGGGAATGCCCTCAGATTTGGGCCCATTCAGAGGCCATCCATGGAGTCCCTCACTCCTCATGGTCAGTTATTTGGTCAGAGAGGCAGCCTGGTGTAGTGGATTTGGAATCTGGGGCCCAAGATTGAAGTCCTGGTTCTACGTTACCTGACGCAAGTCACTTCCCCTCTCTTCCCTCCCACCCCTGCTTTTCTCCATAAAGTTTGAAGGGCTTGGACTGAATCAGAACTCCAATTTCTCTAATGCCTTAACAAGATTATATCCAAGATCCTATTCAGCTTTAAATCCAATAATCCCATGATTTTTGGATTAGTCTGTCTGCACTCCTAACTGACAGGGTTTTTTGGAAAGCTAAAAATGCCTTTGGACATCTGTACAACTGATGGCATTTGAAATTACACATCTTATTAACAGGGAGACTGAAGCCCAGTTAGGCCTTGCCTGTTTCTTTGGTGACACACTCTCTAGCGTAGATGGTGCCTAGCTGCAGAATGAGAGAACAAGAGGTTTGTCTAACCAGGACAGTGGGAGTATTACAGAGAAGCAATGTACACAGGGCCGTGTCTTCTGGCTGTCCAGTAGCCCCTACGTTAGTCATTTCTAGCTGCTTTTTAAGTCTCTGAATCATATCATGCAGCCCTTTGTACAGATATACAGAGCATTGCATTGACATTTCTCTGTGGAAACAAACCCAGGTATAGATTGTAGATGGGACCCATAAACTGAAAACAAACATGGAATTCAAGGGGGAGGCCTAGGCTCTGCATAGTGTTCATAGGGATGGAAAGGTAGAATTTTGTCTTTGGGGACTCTGAAGAAGCTGAGACATGCCCCCCCCCCCGAGCAGCTGACAAGCAGCAGATTGATTGAAGCTCCCTAGCCTTGCATTGGGTGCCTGTCTATTGAGGCATGTCATGTCTGCTAATAATCACCACTTTGTTAGGCTCCTGGCCTCACCATTATTCTTGAACACTCAGCTAGAGCTAGCCTCTGTAGAGGCCCAGTGGTGAAAATGGAACTCTGTTCTGCTGTCTTCGGAGAGGGAAGAGGAGAGGGCAACAGGCTCACACACACAAAATCAATAGTCCCCAAGTTGCGCGTGAGCCTTTGTTCTTCATCTCCATGTTCAGCCCAGGAAGGTGCCACACACTCAGGCCCCATCTTGAGTTAGCCACACAGTGGCTTGGAATTTAAGTAAATGAGTGAAAGTGTTTGCTTCTGCAGGGTCTTTTGCAATGTTTTTAATTCTTCCACTTCATAACACCAACTCACTCTCCAGCTTTCCTGAAGCTGTTAAGCAAATGAGTCTAATCTCAGAGAAATCCATTCATCACATATTTAATTGAACAGTGCCAAGGCTACTGTCCTTCCCAGACTTTACTATTATGATAGGAATTCCCAAAATGTCTGCAGGCTACTAGAGAGAGTTCCACACTTGCTGTGTTCAGTAGGCCACAGCATGGGCATGATATAGCCAAACCCATGGCTCGTTGACTTCTAGGCACGAGCATCCTCAGTGATGGTAACCGGAGCCTTTGTAAAGCCTTCAAGGTCAGATCACACTGAGAAAACTTGCCAAACTGTGCCCACATGTAAGCTTTCCCCATTTTAAAATTTAATATACGAGGAAATGACAGATGAAGAGAACAGGAGGAAAGCTTCAGCTTGTTGTGAAGCAAACATAAGTCTCAGTGTGTTTCTTTCCATTCCTTTTCCACAAAGCTGAAGAGGCCCAACTGTTTACCACCAGCAGACCTACCACAGGAGGTGTGATTTGTGGACCAATAGCTCAGCTGGACACAAGTAGGTTAGAAAGCAAAATGCCATCTCTTTAAGCCCTCATTGATAATTGTAAGTTGAAACAGAAGCCATGAGTTTGGTTTGGGCTGCTCTGCAGGGACTCATCACATTCAGGGCTAATTCTGGCCATTTTACTGTCAAGAGAGCAAGCTCCTTGGCTCTTCTGCTAAATTGGTAATAACCAAGTACCCTTGGTCCCAAATCTTCCCAACCCAACTGGGTAATTTTCAAAATGCCAACTAGATTACAACTGATGCCAGTCTGATAGAGAATGCTCTTCTGCCCAAGTAATCAGAAGGCTCTCCAGGTGTCATAGACTGCTCTACACCTCTTACCATAAGGTACATATCCACAGGAAGCCCAGAAAGCTACTAGAGTTCTTGTTAATTCCATTTTACAGATGGAGAAACTGAGGCTCAGAGAGGTTAAGTGGAGTGCCCATGATCTCATAGCCAATCAGTGGCAGAACCAGGACTTGAAACCAGGGCCCATCTGACTCTACATCCACAATTCTTGCCTGATGTTTTGTTCATTGAAACTAACTGTGTCCACATGAGTGAACTAACCCAGGAAGGCCTTTATTCCTTTCCCCAGGAGTGTACGGTTTCCAGGATCTGTGTATCCAACCAGGAGAATGACCCACTGGAAAGGACTTCAACTAGCACCCCTATCAAATCGGAGAGAGAGGCGCTCTTAGTGGGTAAGAACAATAGCACCTGCTCATCTACACCAGGCACAGGGAAGACACAAAAACACTAATTAAGAACCAACAGTATGATAACAGGAATCATGACATGCATAGTGGATAGAATATAGGACTGGGAATACAAAAGACCTGGGTTCAAATCCTCTGATCTCAGGGCCAGGTCACTTAACCTCTGAACCTCAGTTTCCTTATCTGTAAAATGAGAATAATAACTTCTCTAATGCCTCTCTAATTCGGAGTAGGTAGGTACTCATTTGAATAGCGAGGCTCAGAGGAGATTGTGTGTGTAAAGTGCTTAGTAAACTTCAAAGGCCTGTATAAAGATCAGATAGTGAATATCATGCCCTGGGGTAGGGGAGACCCAAAGCTAACACATGCCCCAGCTCATACCCTCTGGGATCTCACAGGCTAGTGGGGGCAAAGATGCTAACACTCAGAGAACTGTAACACACAGCTTTACAGGATAGGTACAAGAGAGGGGCACATGAGGCCTGAGGGAGATTCAGTATTGCTTGAGAATGCTGAAGCCTTGGTAGGGGTGGGGGGTTAGTTGGGGTGATCTGTGGCACTTTAAAGCATACAAAGTGCTTTTCTTACAACAGCCCCATGAGAAAGGACATGTGAGGGTTATTCTCCCCATTTTACAGGCTCAGAGAACAGAAGGGACTTGCTCAAGGTCACACAGCTAGTAATGTCAGAACTGGGATTCAGAACCAGTTCTCCTGAGTCCAAGGCCAACGCTCTTTGCTCAAAACCTGATTGTTTGGATTAGATGAAACCCAACTAGTCACTCAGTCCTAAGTGCTTGTGAATCATGCCAGAACTCAGCCAGCAGTGGGGGGAGGGGCTCAGGGTCCTTGAGAAAGTGACCTTAATAAAACATAGGCAGTGGGACAGGGATGATACCAACCTAAGTGTATGTGTGGGCCCTGGGCTATGCCTACCTCAGGCACGATAATGTCAGTTGCTGCCAAAGTGCAACAGACCAGGCCCAAAGGTAAGTATAGACAGCTAAGATATGTCTCTTTTTTTACCCTCTGGGAGTCTCCATTAGGAACTAGCCTAGACCCTGTTGGGCAGGGGCTAGAGGGCAGACCCTGGATGACAGACGGTCCAGCTTAAACTTGCCAGATCAACTGACTCTTTGATTGGCTGCTTCCTGGGGCATTTCTGGGCTTGCCCTGAATCGATCAAAGATATGAAAAGTTGGTCTTTATCACTGATAAAAGTGATGCCCAGGCAGTACAATAAGAGGACAAGGGAATACAGAGAAAAACTTGCATCATGTCATACTTCAAGCATCAGTGATTTCCTCAGTGTGGATACTCCCTTCGTAGATACAGATAGCACTCCATTCCTGCCCTTCCCACCCCTGGACTTGTATGTGTGTATGTGCATGTCTGCATGCACGTGCGTATGCGCGCGCGCACACACACACACACACACACACACACACACACACACATACACACATACATACATACATATATACACACACACCCTGCCTTAGTTCATGATCCTCATTAGTTGCTATGGCCAAAAAAAAAAAGTCAGTCACTACCTGGTGGCCATCTTTCTGCTGATGAGTATCATGTTGAATGAATAAATAATGACTTTGACAGTATTTTCTAATGATCTCTTAACTCAGAATATTACATATGCTGCTTAAGTGGGGCTCTACATAGCTAGAGACCATTTGGAATATATTACTTGTCCTGCTCTACTTTCTAGAGGGGAAATAGTTATCTGGAGTATGAATCTTTGTAAAGCTTCTCTGTATTCACTGAAAATGTTTTCTTGTGATATTATGAACTGAGAGGCAGCAAGGCATAGTGGACAGAGACTTGGCCTCAGAGTCAGGGCAATCTGGGTTCAAGTCCCACCTCTGACCCATCCTGACTGTGTGACCCTGGGCAAGTCACTTAACCTCTCACCGCTCCAAAGGTTATATGCTGCAGAGCAGGTGCCTATATCCACTGAAACAGAGAATTTCTTCACTAAGAGAGTCACCCACACTGATGAAGTCACAGGCAAATCTGAACCTAAAGAAAGAAAGAAATGATTTTTTTAAAAAATGTATACATGCACACACAATATTGAAATCATTATAATATATAATATTTTATATATTACCTATTTATATAAAATATTTGTATTTTATATGTGTAAATACACTCATGTGGATATGTATGTATGTGTATATATATTATACACACACACACACACACACACACACACACACACACACACACACACAAACGTGTCTGATATCAACTGTGCCCAGCACAAGCCTCTGTCAGCACACAGTAGGCAGTTCGTGTTAGTGTCTGTTGAAGGCTGCTTTCAGCACACACAGATTGCCACAGTAGGAGAGAGAGGAGCAAGAGACATGAGAAATGCAGAAGGAGATTGAAGCCCCCCAAATATTTCTCAGCCACGGGAAGGACGGAGCTGAGCTCTTGCCACCTCACGCCACCACTCCCAGCCTTCGGTCATAACACCAGCCCCTACAGCGGGGTAGGAGGAAGGGAATAAGCTTAGATTAGGCACCTACTATGTGCCAGGTACTGTTAAGCATTATTAGGGATAGCAGGGCAGGAAGATAGGCTTGCCCCAATTCTTACCCCCAGCGCCCCCTGCCCATGCCCCCAGCTCACCTGATACTGCAGGCCCACTTGGATTCTGGGTTCAGTTGGCCTTTGTGGTGGAGTCCCTGATCAGCCTGTCCTCCTCCCATTCCTGGCTGGGCACCTGCCACCTCCCTTCTGGTTGAGATTCAAAGACAGACTTTCCCCCTGCTACCCACCTTTCTTCACACCGTCATCCTCATCCACCTCAGCCCTACCCCTCCATAAGCCACTTCCCATTCCATCATGGCCTCTTGCTTGACTGTCAACAAACTTTACTTGTGCTAATGAAACCTGGCTCTCTCCAAAAGACGCTCTTATCTAGACACTCAGCTACCCATTGTTCTTGGAGGTTCACACCGTCCATCTATGTTAGACTGCCCACGTCCTTGTCACAGTTAGCCTCTAGCCTCTAGGAGCTCAAGACCCAGGTTTCGGTCTTCCACCTACACCTCATATTTGGGGCTTTCAGTATCCACGTCAGCATCCCAGCAAACTCAACGTTGACTCCCTTGGCCCACATCTTCACTCCACCTCAGCCGCCCATAACTGTGCAGCCTCCACGAGCCAGACCCCTAAGATTCCTCTCCTTGATCACAGCCCCTTCTCGTTACATTCCTTCTTCCACCTCACTCCTCCGAAAGCTGTTCTTTGACCATAATGTGACCTCAGGTCCCTCCCCCTCTCCATGTTTTCACAGTTTTGCCCCGTGGCCTTTGCCCTCTTGTTCCTTTGCCAGGCATGCTTCGGCAGACACTGATCCTGGGTCACCGCCACATCTGCTGGAGAAAGCCATGCAATCTTGCACATAAGGTTCCCTGCAAATTCACTCTCACATCTTGGCTGGGCCCTCCCTCACTTCCCTTCACAGGAATCCTTTTATTCCTCCTTAGTTGGCAGCTCTCTCTCACCTTCTCCATGGTAGCTGTTCCGAACTTTCTGTCCTCGATCTCCCTACAACACCACCAGCCCCTCCTTTCCTCTTAGTAGAGGACCTGGACCCCTACTTTATTTTCAGTCATCTTGAGCTATTTCTACCCTCCTCCATACTTGAAAACCCAACTCTGTCATCCCCCGTTTTCTCCATGGAGGTGCCTGAGGTAGAGGTGGCCCCTTCTCCTTGCCAACTTCTCTGCTTCTGCTCTGGATCCCATCCCCTCCCACTTCCTTTCAGAGCTTGGGGGGGGGAGCTTCCATTATTTTCTCTTTTTCTCTCATCTTCAATCTTCCTTTCTCCAGTGGTTCCTTACCTGTCACCTATAAACATGGCCACATCTCACATTACTGCATTATAACTTCTCCATTACAAAAAGCCTTTACTTGGCTCTGACTTCCTTCAAACGATTAGTCCATATCTCTTCTCCCTTTAACCCTGCAAAGGGCTGTCTATGCTCATTGTCTCTGTTTTCTCACTTCCCATTCCTCAACATACCTTATACCTTTTGGCTTCTGACCCCATTACTTAACTGAAACAGCTTTTTCCAGTTATTGGCATTCCCTGAACTGCTAAAACTGATAGCCTTTTCTGGGTCCTCATCCTACTTTGACCTTATTTCATCTTTTGGTACTATCGACCCCTCTCCCATGTCTTCTTTGACAGTGCTCTCCCTTGGTTCTCCGGCCCATCTAACCATTTTTTCTTCTGCTTTCAGTCACTGTCCAGATCCCATACTCTAAGCACGAACGTCTCCCAAGGCTCTGTCCTATAACACCTTTTTTTTTCTCTCACTGTACTTTCTATCAGCAGTCATAGCAGCTCCCATGGGTTCAGTAATCTCTATGTAGATGACTCCCAGAAGCTCTCATTTTCTCCTGAGATTCTCTTACTTTTGCCAGCTGTCCTCCAGATAAATCTGCTTGGATGTCCCGCCTATGTAATATAGGACTTTTTTGATATCTCCCCTTCATTTCTGTGGAAAGTACCACCATCTTCCTGGTCAGCCAGGTCTGCAACTTCAGTCATTCTTGGACGTTTCCTTCTCCCTCACTTCCCATTTGCCAAGTCTTGATGATTTCACCTCCATGACATGTTTCTCACACACCTCTCTCTGCTTACGTTCAGGTCCTCTTCACTTCTCATCTGGGTTACAACAACATCCTCTTACTTGGTCTCTCTTCCTTCTTGTATCTTCCCCGCAGCTGCCAAATTGATATTCCCAAGACACAAGTCTGGCCTTGTGTCATCTTCTTACTCAAAACTGTCCCTATTATCTCTACGATAAAACACAAAGCTAGTATTGAAAGCCCTTCCCAATCTGGCTTCCACAGGTCATTCCAGTCTTGCATGTGATGCCCCTTCTCACACCCTGGCACGGACCTGCCAGCTCTTCTCCAACTGTAAAGTGTCATTTTCCATCTCCTGCCTTTGCCTTTTCCTTGGCTGTCATCCCTGCCTGGTATGCACTCTTCCCTCACCTCCACCTCTGAGACTGTCAGCTTCCCTCAGAGTCTCAGTTCAGTTGCTATCTCCTGTGTGAAGCTTTTCCTCATCACTCCCCCACTACCCCTCTCCTCGGTTATTAATGCTCCCTCTTGAAACAACTTTGCATTCACTTACCTCCATGCATGTTCTATCACCTCCATGTTAAGTCTCATGATATCACCCCTCCCAATAGTATGTAAGTTCCTTGAAGGCAAGAACTATCTCATTTTCAACTTTCGGTCATGACTGCCAAGCATAGGGCTTTGTACAGAGTAGGGATTTAACAAATATGGAATTGAATTGAATTACCAGTGTCTTCCATACAGACTAATTACTAAACACCTGTGAAGTGACACATAGTCTACAATGTTAGGGGTAGAAAAAACATTGAGGGACTCAGGACCTGGGCTCTAATCTCCTCTTTCTAAAGATAAGGACCAATTGGTCTCTGAGGACCCTTCAAGGTCTAGATCCTCAGAACCTAAGGTGGCTGAATGTGGAATCAGTCACAGTATCTCTGAGCCTTAGTTCCCCTTGTCTGTAAAATGGGGATAATCTATCCGCTTGCACTACCTGCCTCACAGAGATATTGTGTAGTTGTAAGAGGACATAGAAAGGAATTCTTCTCAGTGAGCTAGAAGGAATCTTAGATCATCTGCTTGGAGCCCCTCCTCTTGCAGCTGAGGAAATCAGGACCCAAAGTGGGGGGCAGGGAGAGCTGATACACTGGGGTCCTGGCTCCCAGCCCATTCACCTCTCCATTACACTCGATGCACCTGCATCATTTAATTAAGGAACATTTCACTCTAATGATACTTGAGCACATGCATAGAAATAGCTGCAAGTGTCTGTCTCGACAGTTTCGAGGAAGGAAACAACTTGTTTCAGTTTCCAAGTTCTCCAGCCCATTGGCAGAAGAAAGAATTGTCAGGAAGAGCTGGTTTAGAGGAAAACCTGTGAGGAGTCATCCTGGGAAGGATTCCCGGATGGGATTTTTTTTAAACAGCAGACAGTCTAGGGCTGATGAAAGAGGAAGTAGGTGTTACTGGATGGCTAGGCCCCAGGCTGGGAGCCTCAGGACGGCTGAGCACCATCTTCTTTCTGTTTGGTCCTTTGCTGACCACCAGAAGTACTCCGCATTTGAAATAGCTTTTCTTTTTTTCTAAATAGTATTTTAATTTTTATTCAGTTATATGTAAAAGGCAATTTTTAACATTCTTTTTTTTTTTAAATTTGAGTTCCAAATTTTTCTCCCTCCCTTCCCTCCCCTCTTCCTATAATGCAATCTAATATAAGTTATATATGTACGATCAAGTAAAACACAAAATAGCCTTCCTTGCTTGGCTGATAAAGCCTCCTTCTTTCATGCCATTGCTAGCTCTTTCTGAATTCAATTCTCCCTACTGCAAACAGTAAATAAACACTATGAGCTCCATTTGCCTGGCTCTTTAAGAATGAATTAATGACTGCCTAGGGAAGTCCAAGAACACACAGTGATTGTGTCCTAGGAGGGAGGCCACCAACTGGGAACAAGTTTACTCATGATAGTAAGTCTCCTGCGGTCCCTCTCCACTCCTGGATTTAGGACAGTTTCACCCACCATTAGGGAAGACTGTCCTGAGACTGTCCTGAGAACTTAGACCATTCTTGGCCAGCTTCCTAAGGAGCCTGACAAACACACTGGCTCTTAGATTTTAAGAGTTAGAAGGGCCCTTGGAGACCATGTAGTCCAACCTGTCTCCTTTTACAGATGAGAATACTGGCCAAGATCATACAGCCAGTGAGTGTCAGAGCTGAGATTTGAACTCAGATCCTCTGACTCCAGAAACAGCCCTTTTTCCATGCTGCCACTGTTAATCCTCTAATCAGACAGAGCATTTGTCAAGCCTGTACTTGTCACCAGGCATTGTGCTAAGTGGTAGGGTTACAAAAACAAGCAAAAAGAAAGTCAGTGTCTGACCTCAACTAGCTTACTTTCTGCTGGGGAAAAACAATGTGTACAAAGGAGCTAGAGTGGTGGGAGAGGTTCCCTTGGTAGAAAGGTAGAAAAAGAATCTGCAGAGTTAAGGGCTGAGCCAGGTTTGAAGGGAGCATGGCCATCATGAGTGCTTCCCCAGATGGAGGTTTCAGGGAGGAACTCACCAGTTGGAGGAAGAGGTTGTAGGGGTGGAGGTTCTGCCGGGGTGAAGGCCACAGGGTCAGTGGAGGAGGAAGAGGAGGAGGAGAAGTAAACAGAGGAATCCCTTGGGAATAGGGACTAGACCTGGGATTTCATTGGCATAGAGTACTACAGGTGAGAAAACCCCCTACCAATTCAGAGAATATACTTGCATTGTAACCTGGGATTATATCCAAAGGCCCTGGCACATATTGTGGGCTTATAGATTTTGAGCAGGAGCTGGCTCAACACCCTCCTTCTATAGAGGGGAGCTGAAATGACTTGCCCACAGTTCCACAGGTCAGGCGCTAAGCAACATAGCTGGGATTTGAAGCCAGGAAGATAGCTACAGATCTAGCTTGATCAGGGTCCAAGAACCAATACGTGTCAGAAGCAGAGCTTGAACCCAGGTCTTCCTGGTTCCCATGCCACTTGGCCAGCCACATTAGGTACCCCGATTATTTGCTGGGAATCTGTTGGACTCAGTGCATCAAGAGTATAAGCCCCGAAATGTTGAGAAGTACTTCCAAAGCAGTTTACATGTCATATAAATTCCTAGCCATACACTTCTTGATGATGCAGTCATCACTATGATTGAAAAAATGAACAAGCCACATTTGGATGGAGGTGTATGCTGGGAAGCTGGGGGTACACTGGGAAGTTGTTACTCAGTTCAATTCATCAAATCATGATTAAGTGCCTACTGTGTTCAGAGCACCAGGATGGACACTGGGAGAGAGACAAAATTTAATTAAGGTCTCCTCCTTCCAGGAGCCTCGCTGTCAAATTCATGGAATCACACGTGTGCACTTACACACATGCACGCACACACACACACCCCACTATAATAATGTGATTGCTCATTGTGAATATGTTTGAGGGGTATGAAACAAAGTCCTTTGTTTTGTTTGGTTTGAGGGGGCCATTTCTTGGGCCAGATAAAACCCTAGACTGAACTCAGTTCCTGGCCCAGTTGATCCAAGGACAATCTCATTGTGTGCGTTAATTACCAAATATTCAGGAAGGGAAGAGAAGACTCAGGTATTGAGCTTCTTGTACCAATTATCCAACTGATGTAGTGTTGAGGGCGGAGGGGGGGGGAAGGTCAGAGTACTGTAACAGGCGTCATGAAGGCTAAAATAGCCTGGACAATCTGCTCCTGCAGTTGGCCCAGAGCCATGCTATGAGCATGCTCGTCTTAGAAGAGATAGATCACATTCAACACAAAACTCCCCATCACTGTTGGTGTTGGCAGAGAACACAATCATTTGCTCATGCTCGAAGTACAACATGCACAATCTCCCCTAGAGAGGAACTAGGCAAATCAGGTAGAGATGGAATTTCTACCCCACAGAGCCGTCACTAGCTGTTTCTGTGCCTAGGGCAAGTCACGGCAAATATACCCTGAAATCAACTTTGTACTTCATGATACAAAAATAATGTAAGACAAATTCAGTTGTGAGTGGGAGAAGGAATTAGTTACATTAGTGGCTCACAGATGGGTGTTATTAGCAATACATACCATCTCGTAGTTTCAATTGTTCTTTGTAACTAGGTGTTGAGCTCAGTTATTTCTATACTCCTAAAGGAGTACATTGCTAGGGGCAGCTAGGTGGTGCAGTGGATAGAGCACTGGCCCTGAAGTCAGGAGGACCTGAGTTCAAATCCGGCCTCAGACCAAACATTTGACACTTACTAGCCATGTGACCCTGGGCAAGTCACTTAACCCCAATTGCCTAAAAGCAAAAAAAAAAAAGAGTACATTGCTGTCAACATGTAAATATCACAGATTTCAAAATGTACACAATCTTTTTAAATCACCAGCCTACATTTTTGTTGTTTCTCAATTTTGGTGCCCTGGGGCAAAGTCCCAGTCACCCCACTTTAGTTAGGTCTCTAATATGGCAAAAGAACACATAGATGAATTGTGAAAATTGTTTTCAATATGAACTCATGACAAAGTGTTAGCATTCATATCATCTTTAATATGCTGAGTGGTGGGGAGATGGTGCCTAAAAATGTCAACTTTCTGTTTGAATCATTGAGATTGGTCTAGACCTGGGATTTCATCAATACAGGAACTCCCAGTGTGGAAATGCCTTCCACAAATACTGAGTCACAACTTGGAAATTGACAAGGTATCTCAAGGTTAACACCTATGGTATTTTCTCTGTAGGTATAATATCCACATTTCTTCATGTGCACCCATTTGGAGCAAGTATTGAATACATTTGCTCTTATTTACAGCGTCTGGATACCAAGGTATTTATGGGACAGGAGGAAACTGGGATGGTGAGAAGAGCCTGTGTTGGATACTTTGAAAATATACTGTCAGTGTAAAAGCCCTTTACATGTAATCAAAATGATCCCTTTTATCTTCTGTGATCCTCTCTATCTCTTATTTGGTCATGACTTCTGCTTTGCATAGATCCCAAAGGTAATTTCTTCCTTGCTCCTGTAATTTGTTTATGATGTTACCTTTTATCTCTAAGTCATAGAGCCAATTGGAGCTTATCTTAGGATATGATGTCAGGTGTTAATCTAAGCCTAATTTCTGCCAGATGGGGCATCTAGGTGGTGCTTTAGTGGATAGAGCACCAGGCCTGGAGTCAGTAAGACCTGAGTTCAAATCCAACCTCAGGGTTGTATGGCACTGCGCAAGTCACTTCACCCTGTTTGTCTCAGTTTCCTCCTCTGTAAAAATGAAGTGGAGAAAGAAATGACAAACACTCCAATATCTTTGCCAAGAAAACCCTAAATAGGGTCACAAAGAGTTAGACACAACTGAAAAATGACTGAACAACAATTCTGCCAGACTGCTTTCCAATTTTCTCAGCAGTTTTTATCAGTTATTGCCTAACCCCAGGAGTAGCTGGAGTCTTTGGATTTATGGAAGACTAAGTGAGCAGAACCAGGAAAACAATCTAGACAATAACAACATTGTAAAAACAGAACAAATTTGAAAACCTTAAGAACTCTAATCAGTGCAGTGACCAACCGTGATTTCAGAGAACCAGTGATCAAAAATGCCAGAGACGTGACAGCTCATGCTGCAGAACGAGGCATGCATTTGGGGACGTGGCCAATATGGAAAGCAGCTTTGCTTGACTAGGCATATTTGTTACAAGTGTTGTTTCTGTTTTTGTGTTTTATTTCCTGGGAGCTAAGGGAAACAAATGCTTGTTTAGTTCCAAGAATAACCAGATTGTCAGGATCCTGCCACCTCTGGCAGAAGTATGCCTGTAAAGTCAAGGGTAGAGCTGTCCCTGACCTTGTGCCACAGCCATTATTGCCCAAATCCTTTGGTGTTTTCCATGCCCAAGTTGTCAGACAGTTTGCAGCATGGTCCCAGACACAAGACACCTGTAGCAATACATCTTGCCTGAGGTTCCTAGACAAACAAGAAAAGTTCCGCAGTCAGCCAGACTCCCCAGAGACTCACTTGTCTGGGACTAGGAGATTTCACTCGGATCTCTGGTTCTCTTTGCTGTCAACACATAAATCTCTGCCACAGCAGTATTATAGACCAGCCCAAACCCCTTCTCAGAGGCCAGCTCCTTCCTTGTTTTTCCTGCTGCCTATGGGCATCCTCAGAGTGGGAGTCCCACAAGTTGGCTGTCTTGCCCTCCTGATTATTGTAGAACCAGTCAGGTTTCCTCTAGTATAATATCTCCTGCTGTAGTAAAAATGACAGCTACAGAGCTGAGTACACAGAGAACTAGGCTTGGAATCAAGAAGACCCAAGTTCAGATGCAGCCTGAGACACTTGCTAGCTGTATGATCCTGGGCAAGTCACTGAACTTTTGTCTGCCTCAGTTTCCTCAGTTGTAAAATGAAGAGAAAGATGCCCTCTTCATTCCCTTCCAGCTGTAAAGCTGTGATCACATCATAACTGCAATTCAGAACTGTTGCTAAGCCATTAATATTAGAGGTAGCAAGCTGTGGTGGAAAGAAAACCAGCCTCCAAGTCACATGACCTGGCCCTGCCACCCTTCACACTTCCCCTTTGGGAGCCTCAGTGTCCTCTTCTGTAAAATGGAGACCGTAACTTCCCTGCATTCCTCATGGGGCAGTTGCTTTTAAAAACTTAAGCACTCAAGAAGTGGGAGTTCTTACTAACAGAATGCAAACATTCCCAACCGGAGCCTCGCTTCTTGGTCCCCTCCAGTGGAGGCACAGGTTAAATCTGAAATAGCCAAGGAGCAGGTGGCTGAGAGCCAGCATGGGCTACGGGCTGGACAGACTGCCTCCAAATAATCAACAACTGACTGTTTCATTGTTACTCATCTCATGATTAGGTTAAGAGACAACATGATGTAGAGAGGCCTTAGTGAGGGGGAGACCTCTGGATTTGGAGTAAGAACACCTGGGTTCAAATCTGTTTTCTGCTAGATACTACCCATGTGACCTTAAGAAGGCCCCTTACCCTCTCCAGGCCTCAATTTCTTCTCCTGTCAAAGGAAGGGGGGGTGGGGCAGCCTGGATTTAAATCCTGATTCTGACACTTGCTAGCAGTGTGACCCTGGGTAAATCATTTCATCATCCCCCCAGCCTTAGTGTCCTCATTTGTAAAAGCAGGGAGTTGGACTCAGTGGCCTCTGAGATCCCATCTAGCTCTGGGGCTAGAATCATATGACATCTAAGGATCCTCCCTCTCTGCCCCAGGATGATCATCTGGGCAAAATTTCTGTGCCTCTGTTGGGAGAAGGATGGACCTGTGATCTCATTGGATTAGGGAACTCTCAGTTGAGAAAAGTCCCTCCACCAATGTAGGTTGGCATCTTCCCTGCAACTTCTAGAGGTGCTTAGAGCACCGAAGTTAAGTGACTTAATTGGCACAGAGTAGGCACTGACTAAATGTTTATTGATTGATTGGTTGAATAACACTTGTCTGGGGTCATACAGTATAAAGGTGTCAGAGGCATGATTTGAACCCAGGTCTTTCTGATTTCAACATCTCTGCCTATAGCAAAGAGAAATGTTACTTTTTCCAATAAGTCAAGGGAATCATAGGTTTAGAACTGGAAGGGTTCTTGAAGGCCATCTAGCACAGCTCCCTCATTTTACAAACGGCTAAACTAAGGCCTAGGAGGGTGAAATGTCTTGCCCCAGGTCATACAGGTATTAAGTAGCAGAGTTGGGATTCACATGCAGATCCTCTGGCTCCCAGTCCAACCCTCTTTCAGTTCACTTCAGTGGAAAGGGGGCCTTGTGGTAGGTGCCCCAGCAGTGTGTGGATCCCTGGAGCATCAGTGACAAAAGTGGGCCCCACAGACACTGTCTTCATGCTGTCGTCTTCACTTTGGTCATTTCCATCACTCTGTTTGCGGTATGATCCAGGTAGAACTAGAGTCTCTTCTTCATTTCTTTTTTTTCCTTTTCTTCCTTTTTAAAAAAGGTTTTTCTTTTTTATTATGAACTTAACAAACATCAACCAACACAAAGATTTCAGTTTACAAGGAAGAACAAAAAAAGATCATATACAAAACTACCCACGTTTGTTACATACAGGGGGAGAGTTTTTAAGCATATATTATATTTAACATGGTAGTGACAAAACTGCCATATTTGTCCCTTTCTGAACCTCCTTCTGTTCTTTTCTCACCCTCCAAAAAACCCCTATTCCTAACAAATAATTATACTCAAGCAAAAAAAAAAAAATCAACACATTGGCCATTTCTGAAAATGAATGTTTCATTTGGTACCTATAGTCAATCACCTTGACCAAGAGGTGGGAGGCTAGTTTCAGCATTAGCCTTCTGAAATTCTGATCTCTCCATTTCTTCCTTGGTGTTTGGGGTACCCAACAATGTCACCCCAATGGATGTAGACCAGTATTCCAGGGGCAGGGGAAGTATTTTCTGGTTGAGTTTTCTGTACAGAAATCAGTGGGCCTCACTATGTTGCCAAGAGCCTCCCCCATCCTGGAATTCTATTTGCAAAGAGCAAAGCATCTCAGAAATGCCCCCAGCCTGCCCATTTTGTATCTTTTTTATACTTAGCAGCACCCTCTTTTCAGCTCCTCAAGTGCCAAGTTTATTCATGACTTCCCATCTCTTCTCTCCTTGCTACTAAAATCTCTTTTCAGATTTCCATTCAAAGTTAGGTGTAAATGGCCAGTAATGACTTAAAGTACTATCGGCATTTTAACAAGGCTCAGAACCAGAGCATGGAAAATAGGAGCACTCTAGGTGTAAGGAACAGCTTTGCCATCATCGGCACTGGCCCCAAGTGGAATGGGCCCCCCGTCACTAGATGGCACTTCTGGGAGTCTGGTTCCATTTTGATTGGGTCTATTATTGGGGGACTTTCTGTTCGGGTATGGCTTAAACTGGATGACCCTTGAGGTCCCCTCCGGCGTGGAGGTGGCTGGGGTTCTGCAAGCCCAGTTGTGGTGTCCATGAGCTTTGGTTACCCAGGACCACAGAGCTGGCTCCCGTGATACTGTTCTCCTGTTCTCTCACCCATAGATTTGCACCAGCGAAGTGGAAACTCTCATGAACCGCCTGCAGTGCACCTTTAAGCAGGAGATGACCGGGGTTGGAGCTAGCCTGGAGAAAAGATGGAAGTTCTGTGGCTTTGATGGCCTCAAGATGACTTAATCTCCTTCCCTTTCACCACCCAAGATCCTGGGGAAAACAGTTATCCAAGCCTGGGAAGTGATAAAAATTTATGTATTGTTTTCGTTGGTTTTCGTTTGTTTTTTGTGATTGTTATGTAGAATTCCCTTTAGCCTTTTAGCTCCCCTTACGGAATTTATTGTAACAAGTGTGGATTATAGATAGCACAGCACCTTCTGCTAAAGGCCCTCGACAGACTGGCTCCAACCTTAAGTGTGGCCATTTCTCTCCCTTGGTGAGTTGGTTGGTTGGCTTTTTTTGAATGAAAACTTTCACATGCTCAAAAAAAATTACACTTGGGGCGTCTACTGTGTATGCTCAAAAAAAATTACACTTGGGGCGTCTACTGTGTCTATACTACTGTTCTCAAGCCTTGACATTTTCTTTCTTTTTTTTTAAGCACACTGTTACTGGAAATGTTTTCACAGTTTGTATGTGATGTGTTTTTCCAAAATCTTTCATCTTATAAACATTTCTCCTTTCACGAGGAGCCATTGGTAGAACTTGCAACACCTGAATTGTCTTTCCCCTCGGTAATGCTGCAGGAGGCAAGCCAGCCTAAACTCAGGCACCGGCAAGGGCACGTGTGCGCGCATGCTTGCACGCGTGCACACACACACACACACACGCATGCACATGGACAGCACATGCATGCACACACACACACACAAGAGTGTTTGGTAGAGATGCTTAATCTTGCCCATCTTTTGAAGGCAGACTTTGTTTTTTGTTTATTTTAACAGAACAGTCATGAGCCAGAAGTTGACACATTTTCCAAAGTGGTTCTTCCTTCTCTATTAGGTAGCTTATTTAATAATTTACCAGTAAAACTAAATTTAAAAAAAAAAAAAGGTCCAATGTATTGGCATCAACAGCAGCCTAATCTGGCTGACATGTTTACATAGTCTTCAGCATCATTTTGTAAATACTCTGCTTCTAAAGGTGGGCGTATTTCATTTTCTACAAACTACACAAAAAAAATGACAACATCAGTAATGGGATTTATTTTCATATTCTCTCTGCTCCAGCCTTTCACAGAAGCAGTAAGCCCTTTCCTCCTGACATCAGTGTGCCAATCAAGAGCTCACCCACTGCTGTAAATACTGTGTTTACTTCCTGTTGAATGTTTCCAAAGAGATGCTCTGAGTATCACTAGCTCATTGTACTTTCACAAAAGAAGGACCAGGGTTTCCTCAGTACTGGGTTGGGGGGGAGGGGCGCAGCTTATGCCCCTGAGATAGGGCCCTCCAGGCTGCCAGGACCTCCTGCAGTTTGCATTTGAGGGTCTGGTTCCAAGTTCTGCTTAGTTGTTTAATGGAGACAGGTTGGGGCTGAACATCCGGAGACAAATGGGTCTGGCCTCTTACGTGGTGCTTTTTTTTCCAAATCAAGCATCCCCGCCATTTACTACTGGCTTAAAATAGTGTGCTTCTGTCTGCAAAGAACATGAGGAGTATTTCAGGAAAATACCTTGTAAACGAGATGTCAGTACTGTTTCCAGTTGTATTTTTCAAATAATAAAACAAAAAAATTTTTATGCCATCATTTGGTGTCATGTCTGAACTCATTCACACTATCCAGATAGGAGGCCCCACATTCCATTTCTAGCTCGTCGGGTATGTTGCAGATCTTACCTATCCCTCGTTGGACACTGAAAGTAGGGCTTCTCCCTCGGGTGCCCTTCTGGGCCATGAAGAGGAAGGATTAGTAGCAATGGCAAGATAAGTAAGTAATATCAATATCATACCTCCGGAGAGGAGTAGAGAGAGGCCACAGCCTTGCTTTTCACCAGATGCCTTCCATGTCCTACTGAGCTCAATCTCTGGCCTCCTTCGGAAATAGGAGAGATGCCTTCCACTTAATGATTAACATACACCTGCTCATATCCTACACATCCCAGTGTTTCTGAAGTCTGAAATTCAGCTCGTCTAAAGCAGAATTCATTATCTTTTCCCCAAACCCTCCCCCCTTCCAAACTTCCCTATTACTGTCAAAGTCAATATTGGGACGCCACTCCAAGTACCACCATCCTCCCAGGCCCTCAGGCTCACAACCTGGGAGTCATGCTGGATCAGGCTCACAATCAGTCTGGAGGTTGGATTCAAACCCAGTTCTTCCTGATCCCAAGTCCACCCCTCCATTCAGTACGCTACAGCAAAAACATTCTTTTTCCCATGGATCTGTGAATTCTGTGAATCTCAGATCTTGGGGGGAGGCCACAGGAAGCAGTTTCAGAGAGTTCTAAGGCCACAGCCCACATTCTGTGGGCTTCTCTGGAGAATGACCATCCTTCAGATCCACAAGCCAATGCCCCCGCCAGCTTTGGGGTTAGCGATGTTTGAGGGCCCATCTCTGGGGGCACAGATTTAGAGACGATTTTAAGGGAGGTGTTTGGCTTATAAACCAAGAAAAGACTGCACCTGCTACCTCTAAATATCTGAAAAGCTGTGTTCTGCTTGTCCCCCGAAAGACAGCCCTAGGATCCCTAGAGGGAAGGTACGGGAGTCAGACAACGGTCAACAACCATTTGTTTGGCGCTTACCACATGCCAGCTGAGCACTGGAGACACAAAGAAAGGCAACGGACAGTTCCTGCCCTCAAGGAGCTCCCAGTCCAGTAAGGGAGAAGACATGCAAACAGCCCTGTACAAACAAGCTGCAGCTAAGGTAAAGGGGAGATGATCGGGGGACGAAGTCAAGAGATAGAGGTAAGGAGGGAGAGTGTTCCAGGCATGGGGGCAGCCAGTGTTGGGACAGGAAGTGTAATGTTCCAGGGACAAGGCCAACGTTACCAGAGGAGGTAGGGAGGGGTGAAGTGTAAGAAAACTGCAAAGATGACAAGGGCCAGGATATGAAGGCCTTTGGATACCAGAGGATTTTATATTTGATCCTGGAGGCAATAGGAAGTCACTGGAGTTGACTGAACAGAGGGCGACATGGTCAGACTACCCTTTAGGAAGATCAATTTGACAGCTGAGGAGGATGGACTGGAGTGGGAAGAGACTGGGGATAGGCAGAGCCACCAGGAGGCTGACCTGGGCCTGACATAGGGAGGCATTTCCTAACCCTGAGAAGTAGCAGAAATACGTAAAGCTGACCTCCAAAATTCTGGCTTGGAAGCCCAAAAGGAGAAAGCCCAGGCAGGAAGCTGAGTAAGAAAAGGCTTGGAGACTGTTGGGGTCCTCTATGTGAAGATTACAAGTATGGTACCCCACCCCCAACAGTACTCTCTGCAAAGAGCCAGCAGTCCATTTTTTGAGCACGGCTTGTGCCCTAAGCCAGCTGCCTAGTAGGTGGTGCAGTAGGTCAAGCACTGGGCCTGGAGTTAGGAAGACCTGAGTTCAAATCCAACCTCATGTATTTCCTAGCTGTGTGACCCTGGGGAAGTCACTTCATCTCTGTCTGCCTAGGTTTCCTCAGCTGTAAAATGGGAATCATAGTAGTACCAACCTCCCAAGATTGTTGTGAAGATCAAATAAGATAACATTTGTAAAGTGCTTAGCATGGTACCTGGCACTCCCTCCCTCCTTTACTCCCTTCTTTCCCTCCTTTCCTCCTTCCTTCTTTCTTTCCCTCCTTCCTCCCCTCTTTCCCCCTTCCTTCCTCTCTTCTTTATTCTCTTCTTTCCTTCTTTCATTCCTTTCCTCCTTCCTTCCTCCCTCCTTCCTTCTTTCCTTCTTTCCTTCCTTCTTTCCCCCCTTCCTCCCCTCTTTCTCCCTTCCTTCCTCCCTCCTTTACTCCCTTCTTTCCCCCTCCTTCCTCCCTCCTTTAATCCCTTTTTTCCCTCCTTCCTTCTTTCCCTCCTTCCTCTCCTCTTTCCCCCTTCCTTCCTCCCTCCTTTACTCCCTTCTTTCCTCTTTCCTTCCTTCTTTTCTCTCCTTTCCTCCCTCCTTCCTCTCTCCCTTCTTTCCTCCCTCCTTCCTCTCTCCCTTCTTTCCTCCCTCCTTCCTCTCTCCCTTCTTTCCCTTTCCCCCTTCCTCCTCCCTCTACTCCCTTTTTTCCTTCCTTCCTCCTTTCCTCCTTCCTTCCTTCCTGCCTATAAATCAGTATAGTTTTTCACTGTTTTGAGGGAAGATGATCTCTGCACCATTGGGGAACCAACTATGAGTTTGGGGCTCCTGGCTGAGTCATCAAGGCCTGTCCAGGCCTCTCCTGCTGGACTGAGGACAAAACTCTATTCCCCATTTTCATCAAAAGCTATATTCTAGCTGTTGCTGGGGCTGGGATTTGACAAATGAGCTTGTGCTGAGATACTTAGGGAATGTCTTAATGGCCTTGATTTCTGCCTGTTAATGCTGTTAAAACCCACAGAAATGTTTAAAAAAAAAAAAGATGCACTGTGACAGGCCTGACAAGAAAAGAGAGCACTTTGAACAGCTCCTATTAGCAGTGAATGATTGTTGGAGCAGAACACAGCTGCTTTAGCTGAGAAATGGCCCGCATCAGGGCCGGGGAGAAATAAGAGGCAGCCAGCCACCTGGGGGGCTGGAGCTGCCCCTCCCAAATTCTATTTTCCTTTCCCTTGCCACCAAGACATGGCAACGGGAGAAACAAATGCCTCTTAGTTCTTTCCCTATTGGGTCCTTTAGTCAAAGATCTTTCTGTCATACAGATATATATATATATATATATATATATATATATATATATACGCACACACACATATATATGTATATATGAAATGTATATGTATATATATCTACATACACATATGTGCACACATTTCATATATACATACATACACTTATGTCTATATATACACACATATATATATATGTTTCTGTAGGTGTCAATAGATAATAAGAGAACCCCCAAATCTCCTGTAAAGGACCCCAGAAGGCATCTGGTCCAGCCCATACTTGAACAAGAAAGCCCTCTAGAACATCCCCTCCAAGGTGGTAGTTGAGCCTGGCCTCGGGAGGCCCCCCAAGGTAGCCCATCCTACTTGAGGATAGCTCTCATCGTTAGGATGTTTTTCCCTCCACAGAGACAAAATCTACCTCTCATAAGATCTACTTGGACTCTCTGCTCCTGGTTCAACCCTTGGGGGCCAAGCAGAGCTAGGCTAATCCTTCTGCTTCGTGACTTTTCCCACATTTCAGTTAATCTGTGATTCCATCGTTATGGGTTTTCCCTCCTCCTGAAGCCCCTCTACACCTTTTCAGGAGAATCATCCACATGACCACAATCATGTAAAGAAAACATAACTCAAAAGTAGCTGAATTCTAATTAGTTACAATGACCAATCTCAGGCTCGCAAAACAGATAATGAAACACGCAGCCTCTCAGTAGAGAGGGAGAGGGCTACAAGTGAGAAATGTGGCATAACACTGTCAGATGAGGTAATTTTCTCAGTGGCTTTTGCTCAATTGCTTTCCTTTGTTACAAGAGAGAGGAAAGTACAGAGGAAAATACAGTAGGGAGGTGTTGTAATTCATAGTGTGTCAGATTTGGAGTCAGGAAGACCTGAGTTCAAATCCTGCCTCTGACACTTACTAGCTGTGTGATCTCTTGGACAAGTCACTTAATCTCTCTGAGCCTCAGTTTCCTCAACTGTAAAATGGAGATAATCACAACACCCATCTCCCAGGGTTGTTTGTGAGGGTCAAATGACATATTTCTTTGCAAACTATAAAATACTACACGAATGCCCACTATGTTTATTATTATATGGCATAAAAAACAAAAGGCATTGATAAAACTTTCATTTTAAGTATTTTAACAAATCGATCCCTCAATGCTTTCACAATTGTCTTGTTCCCAACACAAATTTTCTTCTATTTGTATTCAGTTTCATCCTGATACACTCCCCGAATTTGGCTTCTTACGAGTGTTGGGATCCAGATATGGAATCACCACCTCCCATTGGTGATAATGGTTATCAAAACGTTGACAAACTTGTCCTATTATTTAGCTATTTATTTTCCTCTTGCCAGTTTCATCTCTGAATACTCTTGGGAGGCTGTGGCTCAGCTGTTTCACACTAAGATTTCTATAGATTTTATTTTCCCTTCCATTGCTTTCTGATGGTTTTTGAATACACTGGGGCTGTTGCCTTGAACCCAGTTGCCATAGTTAGGGCCTCCCCTAGCACCTTCTCTTACTATGCTTGTGCTCAATTTCACCTCCCTGCTGACTATTTTTTTCTATCCCACGTCTCCACAATTTCATTCTGCAAAGTCTCAACTTCCTCTATGGAATTTTAAGTCATACCTATTTTAAGCCTACTGATCCTTTCTCTGAACCAGAAGTGGGGAACCTGAGGCCACAAGGGTACATGTGTCCCTCTAGGTCCTCAAGTGCAGCCCTTTGACAGTCAAAGGGGCCACATGTGACCTCAAGGCCACCCTTGAAGTCTAAACCCTTTGAAATCGGCTCACCCAAAAGCTAGGGGGTTCACCAGACTATATCTAGCTTCCCTCTTCTCTATTATAAATTCTAGGATAGAATGGCCCATCTTCTTGAGATTCTCATGATTTCTAATTCAGCAGCCAATTAGTTCCTCCTTACTAGTCAGAATCAGGTCTAGGATAGCATTTCGGACTC